ATTTTTCCAACTCTTTTTTTTTAGGCAATATAGGCCGAGAAAATGTCTTTTACGATATTCTAGAACGAAAAAACGCCCTTTTAGGGTATAAAAACAACAAGTTCAAAAAGTCCAAAAATTACCATTTTTCCAAAGGGGTTAACCCATGGTTTTGGTCCAAAAATGGCCATTTTTCCAACTTTTTTTTTTAGGCAATTTAGGCCAAGAAAATGTCTTTTACGATATTTTAGAGCGAAAAAACGCCTTTCTAGGCTATAAAAACAAAACTTTTAAAAAGTTCAAAAATTGACGTTTTTGCAAAGGGGTTAACCCATGGTTTTAGTCTAAAAATGGTCATTTTTCCAACTCTTTTTTTTTAGGCAATATAGGCCAAGAAAATGTCTTTTACGATATTCTAGAATGAAAAAACGCCTTTCTAGGGCATAAAAACAACAAGTTCAAAATGTCCCAAATTTGACATTTTTCAAAAGGCGTTAACCCATGGTTTTGGTCCAAAAATGGCCATTTTTCCAACTTTTTTTTTTTTTTTTGCAATTTAGGCCAAGAAAATGTCTTTTACAATATTCTAGAATGAAAAACGGCTTTCTACGCTATAAAAACAAGAAGTTCAAAAATTGACATTTTTGCAAAGGGGTTAACCCATGGTTTTGGTCCAAAAATGGCCATTTTTCCAACTTTTTTTTTTAGGCAATATAGGCCAAGAAAATGTCTTTTACGATATTCTAGAACGAAAAAACGCCTTTCTAGGCTATAAAAACAACAAGTTTAAAAAGTTCAAAAATTGACATTTTTGCAAAGGGGTTAACCCATGGTTTTGGTCCAAAAATGGCCATTTTTCCACGTTTTTTTTTTTTAGCCAATTTAGGCCAAGAAAAAATCTTTTACGATATTCTAGAACAAAAAAACGCCTTTCTAGGCTATTAAAACAACAAGTTTAAACAGTTCAAAAATTGACATTTTTCCAAAGGGGTTAACCCATGGTTTTGGTCCAAAAATATCCATTTTTCCAACTTTTTTTTTTTAGGCACTTTAGGTCAAGAAAATGTCTTTTACGATATTCTAGAACGAGAAAACGCCTTTCTAGGCTATAAAAACAAGAAGTTCAAAAATTGACATTTTTGCAAAGGGGTTAACCCATGGTTTTCGTCCAAAAATGGCCATTTTTCCAACTTTCTTTTTTTAGGCAATTTAGGCCAAGAAAATGTCTTTTACGATATTCTAGAAGGGAAAAACGCCTTTCTAGGGTATAAAAACAACAAGTTCAAAAAGTCCAAAAATTGACATGCTTCCAAAGGGGTTAACCCATGGATTTGTGCAAAAATGGCTATTTTTGCAACTTTTTTTTCTTTGGTAATATATGGAAGGAAAATGTTTTTAATATATTCTAGAACGAAAAAACGCCTCTTTAGGCTATAAAAACAACAAGTTCAAAAAGTCCAAAAATTGACATTTTTGCAAAGGGGTTAACCCATGGTTTTGGTCCAAAAATGGCCGTTTTTTAAACTTTTTGTTTTATTGAATATAGGCCGAGAAAATATCTTTTACGATATGCTAGGACGAAAAAACTCCTTTCTAAACTTTAAAAACAAGAAGTTAAAATAGTCGAAAAATTGATATTTTTCTTTAAAAGTTTTTGTCCAAAAATGGCCATTTTTCCAACTTTTGTTTGCTTTGGCAATATAGGGAAGGAATATGTTTTTACGATATTCTAGAATGGAAAAACGCCTTTCTAGGCTATAAAAACAACAAGTTCAAAAAGTCCCAAATTTGACATTTTTGCAAAGGGGTTAACGCATGGTTTGTGTCCAAAAATGGCCATTTTTGCAACTTTTTGTTTTATTGAATATAGGCCAAGAAAATATCTTTTACGATATGTTAGGACGAAAAAACGCCTTTCTAAACTATAAAAACAAGAAGTTAAAAAGTCGAAAAATTGATATTTTTCCAAGGTGGTTAACCCATGGTTTGTGTCCAAAAATGGCCATTTTTGCAATTTTTTGTTTTTAGGCAATATAGGCTAGGAAAAGGCCTTTTACGATATTTTAGAACGAAAAAACGCGTTTCTAGGCTATAAAAAGAAAAAGTTTAAAAAGTCCAAAAATTAACATTTTTCCAAAGGGGTTAAGCCATGGTTTTGGTCCAAAAATGGCCATTTTTCCAACTTTTTTTTTAGGGAATATAGGCTAGGAAAATGTATTTTACGATATTCTAGAACGAAGAAACGCCTTTCTAGGCTATAAACACAAGAAGCTCAAAAAGTCTAAAAATTGACATTATTCTAAAGGGGTTAACCCATTGTTTTGGTTAAAAAATGGCCATTTTTCCAACTTCTTTTTTTTAGGCAATATAGGCTAGGAAAATGTATTTTACGATATTCTAGAATGAGAAAACGCCTGTCTAGGCTATAAAAACAAGAAGCTCAAAAAGTTCAATAATTGACATTTTTGCAAAGGGGTTAACCCGTGGTTTTGGTCTAAAAATAGCCATTTTTCCAACTTGTTTTATTTTAGGCAATATAGGCCAAGAAAATGTCTTTTGCGATATTCTAGAACGAGAAAACGCCTTTCTAGGGTATAAAAACAACAAGTTCAGAAAGTCCAAAAATTGACATTTTTCCAAAGGGGTTAACCCATGGTTTTGGTCCAAAAATGGCTTTTTTTCCAACTTTTTTTTTGGGGCAATACAGGCCAGGAAAATGTCTTTTTCTATATTCCAGAACGAAAAAACGCCTTTCTAGACTATAAAAAGAAAAAGTTTAAAAAGTCCAAAAATTGACATTTTTGCAAAGGGGTTAACGGATGGTTTTGGTGCATAAAGGGTGATTTTTCCAACTCTTTTTTTTAGGCAATATTGGCCAAGGAAATGTCTTTTACGATATTCTAGAACGAAAAAACGCCTTTCTAGGCTATAAAAACAACAAGTTCAAAAAGTCTAAAAATGGCCATTTTTCGAACTTTTTTTTTTTAGGTAATGCAGGCCAGGAAAATGTCTTTTACGATATTCTAGAACGAAAAAACGCCTTTCTAGGCTTTAAAAAGAAAAAGTTTAAAAAGTCCAAAAGTTGACATTTTTGCAAAGGGGTTAACCCATGGTTTTGGTCCAAAAATGGCTATTTTTCCATCTTTTTTTTTTTTTAGTAATATAGGCCAAGAAAATGTCTTTTACTATATTCTAGAAGGAAAAAACGCCTTTCTAGGCTATAAAAACAAGTTGAAAAAGTTCAAAAATAGACATTTTTGCAAAGGGGTTAACCCATGGTTTTGGTCCAAAAATGGCCATTTTTCCAACTTTTTTTTCTTTGGCAATATAGGCAGGAAAATGCCTTTTACGATATTTTAGAACGAAAAAACGCCTTTCTAGGCTATAAAAACAACAATTTCAAAAAGTCGAAAAATTAACATTTTTGCAAAAAAAAAACCCACGGTTTTGGTCCAAGAATGGTCATTTTTCCAACTTTTTTTTTTGGGCAATCTAGGCCAGGAAAATGTCTTTTACGATATTCTAAAACGAAAAAACGCCTTTCTAGGCTGTAAAGACAAGAAATTGAAAAAGTCGAAAAATTGAGATTTTTCAAAGGGGTTGACCCTTGTTTTGGTGAAAAATTGACCCTCTTGACTTCTTGAACTTTTTTTTTTATAATCTAAAAATGTGCTTTTTCTTTGTTTTCTCCCTAAAATGAAGAGATGGAAAGATTGCCAATTTTTGACCAATTACCATGGACTAATTGCTTTGGAAAAATTCTAATTTTTTCACGTTTTAAACTTGTTGTTTTTTATCCTAGAAAGGCGTTGTTTCTTCCTAGAATGTCGTAAAACACATTTTCCGTCCGTACTTTGCCTAAAATAAAAAGATGAAAAAATTGCCTATTTTTGATTAAAACCATGGACTAACCCCTTTCCAAAAACGTCAATTTTTCCACGTCTTTAACTTCCTGTTGTTATAGTCTTAAAAAGGCGTTTTTCCTTTCTTAAATATCTTGAGACACACTTTCGTTGCCTACTTTTCGTAAATTAAAAAACTATGGAGTAACCCGTTTGGAAAAATGCCATTTTTTTTAATTTTTGAGGTTCTTGTTTTTAGAGTCTAGAGAGGCGTTTTTTTGTTTCTAATTTATTGTTGAACACTTTTTTTTGGCCTATTTTGCCTAAAAAAAAGATGGAAAAATTTCTAATTTTTAACCAAAACCATGGACTAACTCCTTTGGGAAAAATTCCACTTTTCGACTTTTTAAATTTATTGTTTTTATAGCCTAGAAAGGTGTGTTTTTGTTTTTAGAATATCGTTAATCATATTTACCTATCCTAATTTGCTAAAATGAAGAGTTGGAAAAATTGCCAATTTTTGACCAAAACCATGGACTAACCTCTTTTCTAATTGTCACCAAGTTCTTGTTTTTATAGTCTAGACATTTAGAAGTTTTGACTTTGTTCTATTGAGGTTTTCAAAGGGTATAAAGGCTTGTTGTCTATGAAGAATGTTTTTTTTTGGATCGGCCACAAATACTTTTTCTTGGCCTTTTTTTGACGAAGAGTGAATGAAAAAATTTCGAATTTTCGACGAAACCCATCGACTAACCGCAGTGATAAAATGCCGAATTTTGTGACTTTCTTAAATGTATGTTTTGATTGCCAATAAAAGCCTTTTTTTCTTGGCAATTTTCATTTTTTTTGCTCTTTTCTGCAAAAAAAAAGTTGATAATTTTTTCCAGATTTTAACGAAAGTCAAACTCTAACCTCTTCGGAAAAATATGCAAATTCTGAAACTTTCCTAAGGCGATGTTTTTGTCGCCAAAAAGGCCATTCTTTAATGAACAATGTCCCAAGCACCTTGTTTGTGCTCTTTTGACGAAAAAAAAAGATGAATTATCTTTTCAATTTTTGACCAAACACATGATCTAACCCCTTTGGGTTAAGAGAACGTGTGGAGATAAGCTTCCCCCATTTCCCCAATTATACATAATACTTCAACCTTGACAAACAACAGCCACACTTACGTAAAAGTTAACGCAAACTTCCGTCTTTTATTAACTGAGATCATTTTAATTTGCATGCAGTTCACACTAATTCCTGTTGTGGATTAGGATCTAAAAAATTCATCACAATTATTTACAATTAAGTAAAAATAAAATAAAACGTAGACAATGGATTTTTTTTTCTGCATTTAAAGACTAATACATTTTGAGATAACACTTCTCTGACAAATTTGGTTTGAACTTAAGAATGTAACTTGCCCTTAAAATCTCACTGCAATAACAAAGGTTGTAGCAAACTGAACAGCAATGAAGTAAGAGACAAAAATGTAACGCAAATAAGCTCTTTATTCCTACACTACTGGCGTTACTACAAATACGTCACGCAAAACATTAAGCAGTCAATATCCGATGGTCCTAAAAATAAAAAGGGACTGCCCAGGAGCTCCCATTAAAAAAAATGATACCAGGCGAGAGAAGTACTGAAGAATTTTCATTTAAATGGTCACACCTAGTGGTGTGACCAAGTCCACCGGTTCAAAAGTAAGAACCACCTGATACAGCGTGGTGAACAATACCATTCGGAAGTAGTGCTCGGTACCTGTCAGTTGAATGGTCACACTTTAGGGGCACGAGGATGAGGTTAGCTTGTAGGAACCATCATTTTAAAAGTCACGATTTAATTCCCTGATTAAATCATAACTGGTAAAAACCTTACCTCATGCAAAATCAAACACAGCTAAAATAAAATTTCCACTTTTGAAATGGTATAAGCGTATTTAGAAAACTAATTTAAGAACATTAAACTTAGGTCTCTGTATTGACTTTCTTAAATAACTAGAAATTCTACCTGCGCAACCCCAAAGATAGTTGCCATTTTTTGTTTGGTTTGTTTTAAACTTTACGAGTTTCCAGACTGAACACTTTGTTACTACATATTGAAAAACAAATATTTCTCTTTTCTTATTCCAATCATTTCGTGTGTCAGTATTAGAGAAAAGTTGTAAAAATAGCAAGAGTACTCTACACTGACTTGAAATGAAAATTTTGGAATTAGGTATCACAGCTACTAGACCCCGTTTCCTTGCACTTTCGCACAAAACTAAACGTTTAATCAATTTTTCAAAAATTTATTTAAAATAATAAAATAATAAGAATCAAAGATGTAAGCTGTAAACTAATTAGCTCTACGAATGCTGCTCTTACATAAACAGAGTTTTTTGAAAAAACGTCTGTCAAATCGAAAAGCCTACCCACTAACACCCTATCCCATGGATTGTTAAATTAGAATCTTTCACCCCCATATATTGACTTTTTGCACGTTTAATTCAGTTTAAATGCGCAGTTTTTAACAATGTAAAGGTTCCCACACAAAGCAACTGCACAAAATCGCGGTAGGTCTTTCAAAACCTGGCTGGCTAAGCCTCGTGAAAAACCACCTGTAACGACATCAAGTTCCCACGAAGCTATGACAACTTGGCGAATACTGTGTTTTTAATCAAAGACTGCAAATCAAATTGCAATCGTGTTAGGATGAATCTAAGTGACGATGCGTACGTTGATAATGATTTATGCCCCAGTAGACCACTTCATTAAAAACACTTACTGTTGGTTTCGACGATTTTGTCTCGTTCACTTCTTTGACGCGAAACGTCCGAATTTCGGAATCTGTTATACGCATGCGCATATCCCTGGTGATTCCCACATGGTCACTGACACCACAGCTGACGCAAAGCGGGTGATTTCTCGACTGATTAATCCATCCTAGGGAAGCTACATCCCAAACTATAAGCGTAAAGCGTAAAAGGGAAAATCAAGCAAAACCCTAAGAAAATAGATTTCAAATATTAGCTGGGACGGAAGCTGCCCCTGAAGGAACAACGATGACGATTCCCAGGCTGAACGTGAATTTCCAATCCCAATTTCGTGATCCCTCTAAATGCCTTCGTGACTGTTCATGTGCTTGCGCAAAAGAAATCACATGCAAATCACGTGCCGCGGGAAAGGCATTACAGGCAACCCACAGTTTACATTTTGATTTGTAATTATCATTAACTAGTTCAACCAGAATGAACAAAGGTTCGGATCTACAATACTTTGAGAAAAACACGTTTAGCAAGACCACAGCGTACAAGAAGATGGACTCAGTTAAACATGGCTGTCCACGCTTATTCCAGACACGTCATCCAAAACTTCTTGGAAGGTCGGTCGAGCGAGCGGGTTGCCTTCCCAACATTTCTCCATCACCTCCAAGACGGTGTCCGGGCAGTTGTCGGGCTTGTTAAGACGAAGGTCATTCTTAACGCATTTCAGAACCTCTTCACTGGACCGATCGTGGTAGGGCATCTGACCGAACGTGTAAATCTCCCAAACCAGCACACCGTATGACCAGACATCGCTCTTTTCTGTGAAATCATCGTCAAAGATCGCTTCTGGGGGCATCCAACGCAAGGGGATCAGCACGTTGTTGAAGCGGAAGTACTCGGCATTGTAGAGATCGTAGCTCAAACTCAAGAAAGCGATTTTGACTTTGAGGTCCTTGCCAACCATGCAGTTTCTCGCGGCGAGGTCTTTGTGCACAAATTCTTGCGAACTGAGGTAATTCATTCCAGAGGCCAACTGCTCGCAGATGGAGAGTTTTTGACTTGAGTTCAAAGTGCTGCGGCCATTATCGTAACATGAGAGCAGAAACTGCTTCAAGTCGCCCTAAAAAGGAAGAGCAAAAAGATTACGTAAATTGTACGGGAAACAGAACTGTCCTCTGGCAAGATTAGACAAGACTTGCGCATTTTGACACAGAACTCTCTCACCCTTTCCGGGGTATCCATCGCAAACCCTTTGACTCCAAAAAAGAGATAACTCCCTACAGTAACCCTCAACCGACTTGCGTTGGTCTTTCTAGCCTACGAATAAACTTGTTCCTCGTCTTTTCGCCACGGGTACGTTTCGCGAGAGAGACGTCTGCGATTCGGCCTCAAAATTCCATACTGATGACGTGAATCAATGTTTACATAATTAATCTGGTACTCATGGAAACCCACAAGTAAATTTGTTCGAGTTTTGTTTATTTTCTCCTGGTCTATTATCGTTAAGTTTTGAGTTCTGCGGATAAGCGGCGGCAATCTCCAATGCTTTTTGTAACGAAGAATACATTCCCTGAATAATGACTGTTTCTTCTTAGTAGATTCATGACGTTTAGTAAATTTGATCATAGTGACCTTTTGCTTTTTGTCTGTCAATCCTAAACTAAAAGAATAGAACAACTACGTCGACCAACCAGCGCACGATGACCTCATTTGAGAAAAACCAACGTCATCAGTATGGAATTCTGGGGGTCGAATCGCAGACGTCTCTCCCGCGAAACGTGTTTCGTCCCCGACGAAAAAGAGTCATACGAGACGACTGCATTCACAGGCTATGGTTGAATATATACTAAAAAAGCAAGTTAAGAATTACATGAACAAACCTTTTCAGCTGATTCAAATATCATGTAAATTGGTTCCTCTTCCCTGCACATCCCAAGAAGAGCAACAACACTGTCGTGCTGCAGTCCACACAACGCGTCCATTTCTTTCGTGAACTCTTCGCGCACCTGGTCATCACTACTAGCCAACGCCTTAACAACTACCATGGTCTCCTTCTCGCCGTCGCGAATGCCACTGGCTCGTGCCAGGAACGATCGGCCATACGAGCCGTTACCCAGGCTCCTTAGTGCTTCTAAGTCGTGTCTGGGAAACTCCATTTTGTCGTAGCTGGGCTGGGATTTGTAGACCGGGTTCATGGTCATGTCGTTAGGATCTCCGCCTTGGTGTTCGATGTCACCATTGTTTACTGTGATTGAGAAAAAAGGGGGTAGGTGTTATTCCTAAAACGATAGTAGGATGATTACGCAAAGACGTTTTTCAGCAACGCACGGCAACCGGAAGTGGACTTGTTGGGCGTGGTTTCGTCAAAATTTACGAGCGCCAAAACATATGAAAGGGGAAAAGTATCCTTCCGGTTGATGTGCTTCGTTCAACCAACCTACCCCCCGGGTTAATTTTTGCTGGGTATGGGCCGTTGGCGTCTCAGAGCCCCTACCCCTTTTTGGTCTATTCTGTGGCCAATTATAGACCCCATGTTATCACTTTTCGCGATCCCACTTTCTATTTTTATGAATTGACCCATTTTCCAGATTGAATGAAGCACACATTACTTTTCATCTGCAGTACAAACATTCTGGTACGTTTGCTAACCATAAATATGAAGAACTGTCTTACGCCCCCAAATCCGAAAATGTGCGACCCCATTCTAGTAACTCTATTGAAAATGCGACCCCATTGTAGTCAATCCAGTCGTGAAAATGCGACCTAATCCAGCGGCACATCCCTATTAGCCTCGACCCTCCCCCAAGTCAAAAACGTATTTGCCTAAGCTCCAGAGTAACTACTTAAATGGGCGTCATCTGAGCTAAGCAGGGCCATGTTTGAAAAGCAACTTAAAATTAGGTGGGAGTTTTTCAAAACGTTCCGTGTGTGTTTTGCTTCATACACTCGTCAATTGCTCAAGTATGAGTTGTCTGAGGTACCATGCAAAAAAATCCTCTGCTAGAAACGGAATGGTTGCGGAAAATTCCCACCTATTCTTAAGCTGCTTGACGCAGCCAGACCCACAAATAATAAACGAGCAAGAACGAGCATTCTTAAATGGAAAACAAATTGAGCCATCATTTTTTTCTTGTCTTCTCTGTCGAGTAGGGAAAATCTTCCCCGTTTAACAAAAATCGTTATGTTTGTTTTGGTTTCGTGAACGACCTTTTGTTACCGCTGACGTTTATAACAGACACATGGGTAAGAACGGCTAACATGCTTCACTTGCTTCAAGGCATTTTGATCACTAATGATGATGGTGATGATGATGATGATGATAATAATAATAATAACAATAATTAGATCTTAAGTTGGAATTCGATTTGCCCTAATATTTTGACTTCTCGCTGCAGTTTTGCTTTCGAGTAGCTAGAAAAAGGCAAGGCATGTTACTTGAAGTTGAACCTACAAAACGAGTAGCAAAAACTTAGCAAGTGGGCAAAGATAAACACTTACAGTTCTCGCACTCGGGAGACATGATTTCTTCTTTCTTGCTCTGTCTTGCTCTTCTTCCTTTGCAGTAGATCATTAAACCGACGACAAGAACGATATACGCTGCTGCGCAACCCACAGCAATACCTATAGTTCTTCCCATGGACTCCACAGAGGAAGACTTGCCTTTCCCAGGGTTATTTTTTTCATATACAGTACCTACATCTGTACCACGATCTACACGAGAGCGGGCAAACGGTGAGTTAGTTATGTTAGCAAGACAAACATTTCCAAGAGTTTGCAATTCTAATTGGAGTCAAAAGCTAAATCACTTTGTACAGAACAATTAACAGTATAGTGGGAATGTATAAGGTGCTGTATATAGGTCTCACTTTGGAGTCTGTGGATAAAAATCCTAAAGTGTTGAGACTCAAATGAAAGCCATTGAACAGTAAGTTCATGTGGTACTGACCATTACAATACGCTGTACAAGGTGGTTCTAACTTTTGAGTCAGTAGTTGAAATCCGTAAACTTTTGGTTACCATTCAAATTGAAGCTACTGAGCAATACTTTTCAGTGGTACTATTTATTATTTCATAACATCACAGCTTAACTGACAGATGACCAATAACATCGCGACGTAATTAACCAATCAGACCAATAACCAGAGTATAATACCATCAACTGACGTGATACAACTCACTTTGACTCTGAAGATGACTAACGCACAGGTTGTCGAAACGTCAGCCACTGTCAACAACAACAGTCCTATTCAGGACTACGTTCACCCGGACGATCAAACTCAAGCTATTTTTGAAATGACTCCTGGGTTCAAACCTTTCACACTATTAATTTTATTATGCTGTACAAAGTATTTCTAATTTTTGAGTCTGTGGATGAAATCCTAAATTGCTACCATTCAAATCAAGACTACTGGACCGTACTTTCCTGTGGTACTGTTAATTTTGCTGTACAAGGTTGGCCTTGCGTTGGATTGTCACCATTCAAATGGAGACTACTAAGACGCAGACTGAGAGCATCAGGAACTGTAGGGCAAGTGCATTACATGAGCACCCGTGACAATAATTTGTCTCTTCTAACAATGGCCACTTTCAGGAGTGGAAGGTTACGAAGCTTAAGGGAGTTTAAGGGAGTCTAATTCAAAAAAGAAATTCTCCTTACCCTGGACCACAAGGCTGAACTTGCTTTGTTTCATTTCAGCATGGTTAGCAGCGATGCAGTAGTAACGTCCCCGGTCCGACATACGAACTTCCTTAATGTGGAGTGTTCCATTCGGGTGTTGAATGAATCTATTAGGGTCTAGCTTGTCCCCTCCCTCCACGTCTTTACTCCAGCTTATTTTGGGCTTAGGATCACCTGAAGCATTGCAGTGAAGCCAGATGTGGTCCTTGACATAAGCTGTTGTATTCTTTGGCCGTGTCAAAAATCTAGGATACACTGTTAACAGAGACAGTGACATCAATGCTAAATCCTAACCTATAAAAGTTTTAGGTCAACTAAAGTAGTAACTGAGGGAAAGCTAACTTGGAGAAGGCCAGTAGTTCCAGCCCCCCCTTCCACCCCAGGTCAGCAGGCTGTGAGCAAGGGGGACACCTGAGACTCAAGGGTGGTTATGGGTAGCTGCTTAAAATTCACGTTGGTTTCTTTTTTCAATTGTTGTAGATCATTCGCAACCATAATATTACTAAGCATTCAAAGCTCAAGACCACTTTTGGATTTGTGTCTCACACTCCTCCCACCAACTATCGAAGGTAAATAGAGGGTTAGCCTGCGAGCACACTCTCCAAGCGAGCAAGCGCGCATCTCCTTTCGCGCGCTACTCTTGCGTGACTTCTCGCCAAAATGGAGAGCTTGCTCGCAGGCATGTACGAGGAAGTGTTCAAACTCCATTAAAACTCTTTGTCAAGGCTGCCATAAATTAAAAAATTGATAATATTTTCTCAGTTTTTAAAGTGCTCTAAATAATTTGTAATTCAAATTTCCTTTACCCCTCTTTGCGGACCACTCTATACATGTACGTGTATGTTGACTTCAGTTTCTTCTCTAAGTGTTTTTCAAGAGATCTGGATTTTTTGGAGGGAATACATCATTTAAAGCTGCATTTTCCCTAATGTGAATTGGTGATCTGTGCAAATCAGCCTTGCTAGATGCTTCCATGATCATCATTAATTTATAGATGAGATCAAAATGTCATAACACTGCTCCCTCATGCACAACTACTCTTTTCCTGTTGAACGCCCTCCCCAACTTGAACTGCTCCACCTTATTTAATATTCAAGTCTGTAGCCATGATCATACTTAAATGAAGTCTTCATGAGGACCTATTTGTCTTTTTACAAGCTTCTCCAATCTGGAGACTGTTTATGAAAACACGTTCACCTTCATTCAAGTTTGAAGAGAAGCCTTAATCAAAGAAAGTTATACTTTCACAAACTGCCACTGTATACATAGATGTACATGTACTTGTGCGGATGCAACTCAAGCTAAATACTAATCAAGAAGTCACATCTCAATAATCTTACCAAAAACAGTGATGTTAACGTAGCTTGTAAAGCTGCTAAATGTATTTTTACCAGTACACCAGTATGTTCCAGCATCTTCTTTTTCGACACCAGTGAAAGTCAACACATTGTTTGATTGATTAATGCGTTGATTATCTTCTATTTGGATTCCACTTTTCTTTTTCCATGTGACATTGATTGGCGGGTACCCTTCAAAGTCACACTCGATCCTCTGAGACTCGTGGAGGTTGGCATATACAGACATGAATGGAATGCCCTTGAGCTTAACTTTACCTGAAAGCAAAGAAAATGCAGTTTATACCAAGATAAAGTTAGTTTGAATTCAACAGCATCAGCAGCCATTTTATTAACATCAGAGCAGCAGTGGCAATCAGAACATAAAAGAGAAAACAGATTTTATACAATGTACTTTTACGCCAAACCCATGCATCTCCCTCAAATGCATGAATGCAATGCAAAATTTCTCAAGTTACTTTTTACGGAGGATTTTACAGTCAAAGCAGCAAAACCATGAACATTTGAAATATTTCTGGAATGTTCATTGTGTCATTATTACCCTAAAACTCTGGATCAGGAGGTCCATGGTTCGAACATCACCCATTGCATTGTTTCCTTAGACAAGGAACTTTACTTAAAGGATATTATTTGTTCCACTGAAGAACCTGTCCTAAAACAAACTTCACTTACCTTTAACTACGAGTATGGCTTGTGCTTGGTCAGCCCAGCCTCCCGGGTGATCAGCCAAGCATTCGTAAGTACCATTGTCTGAGGGCTTGACCTTTGGAATCACCAGTCTTTTTCCAAGTCCACCATCAACTTCCTCAAAGATATGTTCACTGTCTTCCTGCACCTCTTTGCCATCTTTCCGCCAGGAGATTTTGGCTGCAGGAACAGACTTCACTGTGCAGTTTAAGACAGCCTTCTTGTCTTCCTTTAATCTCTGGTCATCAGGTTTCTGAGTAATTTGGGGTTGTTCTAGACAACAACAAAGGAGAACATACATGTACTTCGCATGCAATCAAAACTGTAAAATGTATTTTGTTGTGTTTATGTACCCATTAGTGCATGTGGGAACAGTGATTAAAACCCTCACCAACTCAAACTCCCAAGAGATAAGACAAGTTTGTCTAACAAGAGGTTTAATTCAGAGGGGTTAAAATTAATTCACTAAAACCTGAGCCAAGGGAATTAAGTTTTCGGATCAATAAACATGCCTAAACTTTTGAATGTTTCCATTGCAGCATATTGGAATCAATTGGTAGTAACAATGTTGATAGCATAATGCATGAATATGAACATTTTGTTCATCAGAAAAAATTTACCAAAATATCTGATAAAACAGCTCTTACAGTTCTATTAAAACATTACGAAGCTTTCTAAACAAGGTTAAAAGAAGGAAGGTTAAGAATGTGACAAAATTTTACACATGCAGCTGTAAGTTGTTGTCTGAAGTAAAATTTTCCAATTTGGAAATATCAGAGGTGGTTTCTTTGAAAAAACGCTGTACCTTAGACCTGAAAAAATACACTATACTGATTATGTTCAAAGATTAAAAGTAGTATAAATAAGTAGCATTATCAAGCTTACCAGACACAACTATCTGAATAGTCTTGGATTTGGTTACATAACCATTTTTTGCCACACAGGTAAAGTTTCCAGTATCAGTTAGTTTTGTTTTGTTTTTTCTCAAGCGTACAACAGCCCTGCTTGCTGAATTTTGATGATGATGGAAGGGGCTGGCCACCTTTAAGCCAACTGATGGATGGAACAGGTGATCCTTTAGGCTTCTCACAGCGCACTTCTGTCTTGTCATTTTTTAGGATGTAGAGAGTAGATGTAGGGAATGTCACATCGTCTAAATCTGCATGTTTAAAGATAAGTTTTGTTACTTAAAGTGTTAAGAATACACATGAAAGGAATGTGAAACATTTGTTGCCAGATTTTCCTAAATTATCATGAAAGGAAACCAGAATAGTGATATTAAATGCCAGTTCTCGATAAGGACGAAAAACCATAGGCCCCCTCTCACAACTCTTTCACTGTTCTGATTCGTGTGGGACATAAAAGTAACCACACTGCTGTTCATAAAGAGACTGGGTGGGTAATGAAGGGCTTGATATCAATTGGGATGCAAGTCCTGCTTCATCCCCTGTCACTGTGTTGAGTCGCTATGGTTAATTCAATAAAGTATTAATTAAAAGTGATGTAAAAAATTCTAAAATTCTAGTACTTATCACCACATAAACTTTCACAAGGTAAACATGGCTAAATAAAAGTAAGGCTACATGAAAGTAAGACTCGTGACATTGCTCCCATGTTGTTCGAGATCAACAGGGGTGTTCTAATAGCTTCACATGTAAGAAAAAGCTTCTCTGTCTCGGTCTGGCCATTATGCTCCAGGTACTATGGTCTATAGTCTAGCAGGAAAAGTGACTGTTACAGCCCATGAAAATTGGCTTAAGAACTTTGCTCTTGCCCTATCAACAGTAGGCAAAACAAAGACAAAAGAAATGATAATAAATTTATTACTATTATTATTACTATCTTTTTATTTTTTGATACTGATCACGATTGATGTGGGTTACTTACAAGCTAGTTCTAATTTGGTATCCTTGGCGATTTTGTTCACTAAGTTGGTAGCAGTACACTTGTACATAATGGCATCTTGGCTGTCAGCATTTTTAATCTCAAGTGACCCATTAGCATTAATAGTGTATTTAGAACTGTTCTGCAATGGGTTGACGTCACCATCAGCATACCAGTTAATTATGGGTGTTGGATTGCCAATTGCTTTACAGGGAATCTTTGCTGAATTCCCTTCTACAACCCAAGATGTTGCTGGAGGCGGTTGCAGGAACTGAGGATGCTGCCCAACTGGAACAAGACAAGAACATGAATTAAAATTTGATTCAGAGTAAAATACAGATCTGGCCAATTCTGAAATTCCAACGTATGTACTGACCCTCTGATGCTAACATCTAGAGATGTAAAATCTGGGGACTGTTCCCTTTGTGGTACACGTCACCCTTCTCCCATACCCATATCTGGGAGATTTTTATACAAATGTTTTTCCAGGAGAGTTGGCACATACATGTATGACCCTATTCAGCTAATACAGCTTTACAACATGACCAAATTCCTATGGCTTATTAACTGGTGACAATATTGATGGGGTTCAGCTTTACTTTTACATGGTACCATTAATTCTGCTTTTTTCAAAACCCTTCCTTTTTACCTGGTACACTGACCTGTAAAACAGAGTATGACCGGTTGCTTTGTCCTTCTACGTTATACATAAATCTTTGGATGAAATCCTATGATGTTACCATTCAAATGTAGCCTCTCTGGCAAAACTTTGGCATAGGGCTGTTTTTTGATCAGGATTTTACAAAACGATAACATGAAAAGATGGTGAATTTTAAGCTTGGTGAACAAATGTGAAGATGAAATAATCAGCATGTCATGAGTGTGGGACAAAGAAAAACTCTGAGTCTCCGACTCAGGAATTCATGTGATTTTTTCCTTTGACTGCTATTCAGAGTGAGAACAGTAATTTACAAAATAAAAATGGGGATTTTTTAAACATACCAATGACAGAGATGGATAACGGTGAATCTGGCGTTTTGGTAGAAGATGATGGTGAAGATGCTGTGCATGTGTAACTCCCGCTATCCTCGGTAGTTGCATTTTTAATGAACACCTTGTTGCGATCCACTGTGATGTGTCCACCTGAATTCAGGGGAGCACTATCTTTTGAAAATGTGTAGGTTCCAGATGGGTTCATATAGCACTTGCATCGTATTTGTATATCACTTCCAGTTAGGAATAAACTAGCGCCAGATTTAACAATTATCTGTGCTGTGTTACAGACCCCTGTAAAACAAATAACAATAAAACTGCAGGTCCATTTATGGCTCATCAGGGCTTTAACTAACATATGTACTTGAATAAGCACCATGACACTTATAAAATTCTCCATGCCTCAAATGAGGCACTTACTCAAGGGAGCCGCTTATTTGAGACTGGCATTTGGTATTATCATATTTGCTTTTAAAATAACAGAATCAATGTCTTTTGATTTTGATTATATCCGGGCTGTGTAGCTTATTCAGATTTGGGGGCAGTGCTTATCAACTTTTTTGTCCCAGATGGGGCCCTCAATCAGGGATGGCCCTTATTTGAAAAAGTACAGGTATTTAAACTGGCATCGATGCATCTTTTCTGTACTAGAAACCAAATCCTGCAAATTACACTGCCAAATTAGTCAGCAGGATATATCATCACATTGTCTTATTGAAATGAAGACCTTGTAAATTTATGACATTCAAATAAGATAAACCTGTGGTAACAATGGGCAATCAGTTAGTCAATCCTTGACTGACCAGGGCTCGAAAAAGTTGAATTACGGCTTCTCCTTTGGGAAGCAGCTCTAACAGTTTCCTTGACAAGGCCCACTTCTTACTCGTCTTGGTTAATGATTTTGTTAGAAGATGACTTGCCTAGACCTTACACATTGGGCAAGTAAGCTCTAAAAGTAACTTGCCCAATGAAAATAATATTAGCAGACACAACCCACACAATGTCATTAACTGTTCATCTCATGGTGCAAAGATTGTATTTTCAGAACAGCTGTATATAATTAAGTTTTGACTTTAAAACAGGCTTTTGCCAGATTTATGATAATTATACACAATGACTTCACTAACTGGTGAATTTTCTCAGCTTTAAACAAGAGGATTAAGTTTCGGAGACCTTAATCCAAGATAAGTTCTAATCCACTTTTATCCCACCCACCCAGACTAAAAATATCATTATTCAGAGATAAGTTTGCAGAGGAACCAATATGCCTTTGTACAAAGCCTTAAATGATCCAGATAAGAACATACTATACCTCTGTCTGTTTAAACAACAATGTTTACAAGAATTTCACAGAGCAGGATGTGTATTTACCTTTAGATTTTCAACTGACTGCTTTGTAACTCAATCTAAATCACAGCTGAAATCCTATATGGCAAACATCTGAATTGAAAACTTTTCTTGGCTATTGTTTGCAACTCAACTAATGGGTTTGAATTCTTTCAACACCAAGAAATATCCTCACAAATGAGGGGAAAATAAATGTTATTTAGTAAAATGCTTTTCTTTTTCTTGACATTTGTGAGAAAATGGAAACATTCCTGACTGGAAAAACTATTTTGCCACATAACAAAAGAATGCCAGAGGTCCTAGGACTATCATGACTTAATATTTTATGTTTCACACATTAGCACCCGGCAATAACATTTCTATTATGGGTAACCTTCATGTATCACACACGATTAAGCCCTAAGAGTGATCAGCATGAAATTTCTCCTTATAATATCAATGCTGTAAAAAACTGAGTGGTCATGAGAATTGAGTACATGATCCTGGAAGAGGAATGTAATACTTATTTTATTGATCCTTCAACAAATTCTCCCCACTACTTCTATTGAAAAAGTATAGGGACATTAAATGAGCATTTCAATTTTGATATTAGGGTTTAACCTTTTAAACCCCGACATCAACATACATCTTCTCCACACTGTTCTTCATACATTCCTTATGGTACTGCGTGAGAGAATTTGTTGTAACATCACAACATTTCATCTTTGGTGATCATTTTGTTAATTCTCATTACCTGTCTGTTTGATCAGGCAGTGTTATTGTTGGGAGAAATTAGATGCTGGTCATTATTGGGGCTTAAAGAGTTAAGAGGTTAAGCAGGGGGAAATAGGTGCCAGTGCCGGTGGTTTCACATTATTCTAGTGGGATCAAATAAACTAAAAAAAGACACACTACACAGCTGTCACACAAAAAAAGTGGCGTGACAGCCTAGCTGTTTCCTCAGTGGCAAGATAATGGCAGAAGATTTCATATGTTGTGCGATGACAGAATAGCCAGACTGTGGCCTCAAAAATCTAGCAAGAATGACATAAATACCACTTGACAGATGACAACTGAGCAAATCTGCTAGAACAACCTAAACTGCCAAAAAACAGGCAAATGCTTTGAAGACAAGAACTTGACATAGAGGTTAGCACATTTTGAGCGAAGGTTATTTTCTAGACCAAAACAGTGGAATTGAAAATTTTACTATTGGCAGAATTTTTTAATGCATACCAAATAGCTATTACATACATTTTTTTCATGAAGATTTTTACATTTGAATGGTATTTTTTTAGTATTTCATCTTTGTACCTGAACCATGCACAAAGAAAATAACAGGTTTTTCTTTAAGTCTTATTATTTAATTCCATCAACTTAAGACCTTGATTGAATATACACTGAAACAATTAATTTTACTTTTTTTTTCTTCAAAGGACATGTCTTGTCTGTTCACAGAGCCTCTATTTTCTCTTCATAGATCATCGCCAGATATCATATTACCGGTATGTGGTGTTCCAACGTAATCAAGGACAAATTCAGCCTCTCTACTGAAAATTACTGTGCATGAAGAAAAGTGTGATTGGCAGGTAGATTGAATACTAAACTGTATCCTGTATTCATTGCAATAATGTTATTTTGTTGATACAACAATAATTATTCACTGAGCGCGCCCAAGGTAGATTATGCTACTCTTTAATTTGGTGTATTAATTTTGTCCAGACATTTTGTCCGACCACATTTAAGATAATCGTCAAACATGGGCCAATGCCCAATAACTGCCTGTTATTTGCAGCTCAGCTTTAACCCTCCAATTCACATTATCTCTTACGGTGGCACATTATGAACTTATGTGGTAACAATTTAAATGAAACCTTCCCCTAATGTACATTACAGCTGGGGCGTGTTTGATAAACTGTATTTCTGAATAACAATAAACAGAATAAGCTCTGGAAAATCATTTGCTTGAGGATTCATTGCACTAGAATATCTAGAAATCAATTTGCTATATAATTTCCAATGTACCGGTATGTAGTGTTAAAATGGTATAAAAAATATCATGGCTCAAGAGATTTGTAACTAGAATTTTTCGGTGTTCTTATTCCGGAAAATGACCAATGATATGCCGCCAAAATTTCATATGGCAGAATTTTTTTGTCTTTAATTGAAGACTTATCTAAAATTTTGACGATAGGAATGATTAATCTCTAAGGTGGAAAAAAGTTCAAGAAATTAGAAAAATGAACAAGCTGAAGGTCAAAAAATAATTAAATTTGATAGTTATAAAATCACTGTAAAAATTTGCATTTAACTAAATTAAATGACAAAAAAAATTTTCTTGGACACAAAGAATAAGGATTGCAATGGGGTCATCACTAAAAGAAAACAATCATTTAAAAAGATCTCACAGCTAAATTCAACAACATCAATTTCATTTTACAACTCCGACAATCGAGTGGTATTGATCATTAGTTCTTGAATACGGTTCTCTTTATTGGAACGCATATTAAAGTCCTTCTAATGAGGATGACTTATCTCACATAATGGAAAAAAATTCCTTCTAAAAGAAGTTTTTTGAGCATGCACTGAAGTCTAAAAGTGTGCTAAGTCTCAGTGACTTCTTTTTGTCATCACATTTTTCTTCAAGCCCTCAAAGCAATCTCCCAAATCAAATAATAATTTATTTACACTGGCAAACCTCCCGGCGCTTTTAAGAGATCTCAAGAACAGCTGTCAAACTGCAAATATGGGAGTTGTTTCTCGCATAATGCATAAAGTCACTAATACAAATAAATTATTCAAAAGTTAAAAGGGACAGTGATTTCGGTTAAAAGAACAAGTAACCCCTTAAGACGTGATGCAGGAAATAAGTTTACAAAATAATAATTATTGACAACTCACTCAAGGAGACAACCAATACAGCTTCAATTGTGAAAATGGTTGATTAGACGGGAACACTCAGACAGCGCGGCATTGTAGATCTTATCTTCAATCAAACATAATAAGCTTTAAAAACGAAGTAGTTTTTGTGGCACTTACAAAAAACCCCCTCAAGAGAGAAAAATATATCAAAGAAGCGCAAAAATACCTACTGAAACTACCTCAGCAGAATTGTTTGTATCATTCCAAACGAACACTTGATCCGAAGAGGAAAAGCTATAAGATTACCATTTCACCGCAAAATATGTCAAATTTCTGCTCTTGCATTACTACACATCAATCGCATTTAGAGAATTTTCCGTCAACATGACGAACCTTAAACTTTCAATTGGATTTATAGCCAAACCAACATTAAAATGTCCATTGTCTGGGCCAAGTGGAAAATATTATATCAACTAGAACTTTAAACAGAAGTGCCAACAAACACCACAAATCGGCACAATGGAGTAAACAACGAGTAGAACCACCACTTGCCATCGATCGCGTAACTTCACTCAAATTTGAACAATACCACAATTCAAAGACAGAGGTCTGAACTTAAAAACGGATATAAGCACACATAATGGACTTGTGGCGGACACATAACAGCAACTTGTTGATTTCTGTTCGATGTTAAGTACTTTGATACCATGATAAATACACAGGGCGCAAATGAAAGTGTAATTTGCAGCAGCCACAAGGAGATATTTTTACGAAGCTCTGCAAGATACTGATATCATTAAACTGTTTATTAGAGAAACATGCGGAGCTTTAGACTAATTTCACCACGCGTTCTGTCTTCACAACTGTTTTATTCAATGCCCCAGGCAGAGAAATTGAAAACATGCTCACAGAGATTTCGGAAATGAACAAGGAGATGAAAGCCGCGGGGAAAATTTTAACGCCCTGAAAGACTCTCGTGATTGAAGCTTTGTTAGTCTTGATGTAATCTTACCTTTGACATCTAGCGTTGCTGTATTGCTTTTTCCGAGGATTTTAGTTCTACCTGCCCTCGTGACATAACACTGATAGGTGCCTCGATCGTCGAGCTGTGTGTCCGTTATTTCTAAAGTGCCGTCAGCTGATTTTATAGTAAACCTAGAGTTTGTCTTAATAGTTTCATTGTTGTAGGACCAGTGATACTCTATTTTTCTA